CTTTACAATGCCGGTTCAGAGCAAAATGAAATTTTCAGTTTCCGGAGAATACATCTGCGTGTGCATAGTTGGATGGGCTGGAAATGGGGAAATCTGTGGGCGAGACTCGGACTTGGACAGCTGGCCTGATGATCAGTTGCCATGTGGAGAAGAGCACTGCAGAAAAGTTTGTATCTACTTGCCGATAAAACCCGAACCTCTTAAGTGAACCTAATTCTTTCAGGATAACTGCCTTGACCTGCCTAATTCCGGACAGGAAGACGCCGACGGAGACGGACTTGGAAATGCCTGCGATCCAGATCCAGATGGTGATAATGTTATATCGGATGTGAGCACTTTTCCTTCGGCTGCAAGGTGTTTTTAAATCTCATTAATCTTCCATTCTCTAGGATAACTGTCCTTTCCGCCCCAATGCTGACCAAAGGGACTCCGAAAGAAATCCAGACAAAATCGGAGATGTTTGCGACAATTGCGTAAACGTTTACAATCCAGACCAATCGGACATTGATAACGACGATATTGGAGACGCTTGCGATCCCGACATGGATAATGATGGTATGCCGCCTCATTCTGCAAAATTCCAGAAGTTTCCTCATCAACGAATCATATTGCAGGCATTTTAAATGAACGAGATAACTGTCCAAGACACGCCAACAGGAATCAGCTGGATTCGGATGGGGACGGGCTTGGAGATGTGTGCGATAATTGCCCCAGCAGATACAATCCCGAGCAGGAAGATGTGAATGAAAATTTGGTGGGAGATGTATGTGAAACCCGGAATGATATAGATCGGTAAGCTAGTAGGAAATAGGAAGGCACTTCCTAAGGAAATCGTAGGAACGACATTAAAACATCACTAAAACGCGTACAAACTTCGCTGGGGGTTGCCTGACTTGAGTAACTTTAAGCTCGTCTGGCCACCAAGCAATATTGGTGATTTTCGCTGTAGTTTAGACCAAATGTCGATAGCTCTAAGCAAAGCTGCTAGGCAAACCTGCTAGGCAAACCGTTCATTGTGTTTTGAACTGTACACTTAAAAGGTAAAATAATGCCAGAATTAGCGAAACGTTGATAAAACTCGGCAGCGAAAATGGATGAAAGGTAAAAAAGATGATCGATTTCTAGCGAGAGCAGTTCGGAAAACGCATCCTAAGGACGCGCGGTCCGCAGACTACACACTATTACATACACACAAACGGCCCACAGACTCCACACTATTATATCATAGAACAAGGCTTATATAGAAACGACTCTTGCTCTTGTAGAAAGTGTGTCGCTAAAGTGGCGCGCCCTGCTGACTGAGAATTAAAGAATTCAAACAAACCTGCATTATGAACCCACTATACTTGCTTATTTTTAATTGTGTCGCAAGGGGCAGCTGATAATAGGGATAAATGACTCAACTACACAAAAATATATATGTTACTTGTTGTTTATTGTTTATGTAAATACTTTTTACAGATAAAAAAAATCTTTGGAGCATTTTTAGGAACAACTTTAAAACATACGCCTTTTGTGATAGGAAGCCGTGCATTTTCTTCAAGACACCAATAAACAGCTACCATCTTCGCAGATTATTGACGATTTATGAAAACAGATAAGGAAAAAGATAATCTGAAAATATGAAAATATCATTATTAATTTTGAACAGAGGTTTCAGCGGTGAGCAACCCGATGCTATGAACTAGCTCTAATGAGAAAAATATCCTGTTTTCCATTTATTTGTTTCTTGATGAAAATGCCACCTGAATAATAAGCTAAGTGATTTCGACTTACCCAACAAAATATTCACAAATTACGTATTGGAGAACATGGAGAAACGTATCACAATCCAGTATGTGCAGGAAGCATGAGGCACGAAATCATACAACTTATCACAGATTATATCGTCAGAAATGAATAAAATCGGCATAGGCT